GCAAGCGGGCGCGCGCGCGCGCGTGTGGCCGAAAACAACACCAACACTTAGTGCATAGCTTTGTGCTTGTTGTAACCTCTCCAACGCTCTTTATTATAATAAAGAGAGTTAATCTCATTTAAGAGTCCAATGTGGGAATGACTCTTGACCCTACAAATCCCACAACCAACGTTTTACGTGCCCTTTTATGGCTAACTTTAACAATTTATTTCCCACTCACCGAAAATCAGTTTTGAAAAATAAATATACCACAAGTATCTACTCGGAACGTAGATTTTTTCTACAATATTTAATTCAACTCAAATTAAATATTTAGCCATAAAAAACTCAGTCAAAATCGGGTCAAACCGAAGTTTTATAATTGATTTTTCCAACAAAAGCAACATCTTTAATCTCATAGTTATGATCACACAACCAATGCAATAGTTCCATAAAATTTCCTCGATTGTTTGAGAGTTCAAATTCATCACGTCCACGAAATTCCATGCCTTGATGTAGGAGTAATAGAATACAATCAATTGATGCGCTCAATCGAATCCTGTAATTTGTCAAGATTGATGTGAATGCTTGACAAGACATGATCGAATACTTTGCTCTTGATTTTTAAACGATTCAAATTTAACTCGAGCCTGATTATGTGCACTCCTAGGGGCCCTGGCGTGCGTTTTAAGATACTCTTTCTTTTTCCAATTCGAGAATCCATCTTTACCAAATGAAGAACTACCCAAGCTGAAAAGACAACAATAAACACAAAATACCGCATCTCTTGATACACTATACTCCATGTAAGATTGTCATCATACCAAGAAACAAAAAATCGCCTCTCTTCGTTACCTTTTTTTGTGGATGAAAATACATGATTGCGAGGTTGACAAGGATCTCTTAGCATATAGGTTCTTCGAATCACATCTCGGATGTTAACATCGTAAACTTGAATTGGAGTTTTTAGTCCAGGATCTGAAATCAGACTTGAACCATCAACATCTACAGATGTGCGATAGTCGGGAATGGCATCAACATGATTTTCTTGGCCTTTTCATCGAACATTTCTTTCATCAGTAACAATCGTAAATTTTCGTTTATAATATTTCTCCATAACTAATATAACAAATAATAATAACATTAGGTTAAAACATAGAAATGAGCGACAAACAAATTACGAGCTAATTTTAAACTATTATTACAAATATAAAGATACCTAAAACAAATAATACATAAAAAATGCACAACGAATAAGAAATGAAATCTAAAATGCTATTTTATCGAATCATGAAAACCCTAAATTAAAAATTACATCAATTTTGAAAATTCCTAAATACAAATTTAGGGTTATAAAAATTAGAAAACCATTAAATAAAGCATTCCTCTTGATATAAAAATTGACAGCCAACTGAGGAAGTAGAAGTTCAAACCACTTTGATTATTGAAAGATTTCTCTTATTTTTTTATTTACTGTAATTGCACCAAAATTTTGTAGTTCTACGAGAAGAAGTAAAAGAAGATGCGAATGTGAACATAGTATGAGATGAATTAAAACTTTTGCTGGGAGTGGGAGGCAAAAACTTGGCTTGTTGTACTAGAGGGCCCACAAGAAAAGTTTACACAATATATATATATATATATAGGTATGGGTTCCGGTG